AAATGTCACGTGGTGAGACCATATTTCTTAAAAAATCGACATTTTGACCCCTTGAAACCCTAAATTGATCAATCCTGGAAAACGGGTGTTATATATCTCTTCAACGCTCACCTAAATCGTCACTAATAGAACCCCAACTCATAGAATTTTCCCAGGTGACCCAATATTGGCTGCTACTCAGCAAAACTCAACCCAAGGGCATGAATCTCTACCAATGAAATAGAAAAAATAAACGAGATTTAGGGGTTGGGTGTTGGGAATTAGACATCACAATGGTGTTGAAGAAGCTGAACAAATTTAGATTATCTTATTAAAACTTACCCATTTGATTCGACACTCTTTAGTCTAAACCCAGTAAAGTTTTCCATGGTAGTATAAACAAGAGAAAATGTAACTGTAGCACAATCCACTATTGTCATTTACCCGATTTGGTCACTAAACTAATTTTTTTTGCGCAATAGATCATTAACTTACAATTTACATCTCGATTAAGTAACTTTCGTTAATTTTAAACATGTCCCTAATTACCGAACCTTTGTGGAAGTCTGACATGTCGAGAGAGCTTACATGTAATGTCATCGGTAATCAGGGATTCGTTAAAATTAACGAGAGTCAAAACATATATTTTAGTGACCAAGTTAGGTAAATGACAATAATTTATTATACAACAGCGACATTTTTCATATATATATATATATATATATATATATATATATATATATATATATATATATATCGTGGAGAAGAAATGTAAGTCACTGAATCTCTTTTGCTTTGATGAAAAGACCTCTCTACACCAAAACTTTTTTTCTTTCATTATTTAATTGTTACTTGGATATTTTTATTTATTAAATTTATAATATTAAATTTGTAATTATGGTGGGATTGCTTTATACACCAATTGTTTTATACAATAATAATTATAAGTTTCTATTTATAGTAAACATCTTATGAGAATCAACTACTCACAGAGGTTCGAACAACTCGTATCATATTATTTATTTATGTAACTTTTAAACCTTTTTCCATATCTATAAAAGTTGTTATTCCCTTTGTGGCTAGAGAATGTCCTAAAATAGTAGTACAAAATAACACCATGAATAGAGTATATTTTTCCTTATTTTCGTAATGGTGAAACCAATATTGTCATGATCGAAATTAGTATAATTTCGGATTTATAAGATTGTGAGATGACCATAAGATCCTACCAAAAATGACATAGTTATAATGGTAAATTACACAAATCGTCCTTCGTCTATATGCTTAAACGCATGTTTAGTCCCTATTTTTAAAAATTAACTCAGACCGTCTTTGTGTTTGTTTTTTCTTGCACGCTTAGTCCCTACGCATATAAAAATACCATTTTGCCCTTATTTATTTATTTTTGATTTGTTTTCTATTTATTTGTTATTTATTAATTATTTATTGATTTGTTTATTATAAAATATAAAGAAATACTCTTACAACTCTTTCTCTTCTCTATCCCTCTTTTAAGAACCTCCCAGAAACCACCATTCATCGCAACCGGAAGCCACCATCCACCGCCACCATAAACCACGGCTCACCGCCACCGGAAACCACCTTCCTCCGTCGACTACCACTGGAAACCATCAGTTCTCTCCATCTCTCTCTCTCTCTCTCTATCTCTCTCTCTCTCTTTCTCTTTCTTTCTCTCTCTCTCTCTCTCTCTCTCTCTCTCTCTCTTTCAGATCTTTCTCACTCTTCACTATCCCCTCTCAAAACGCTGGCACCTTCACCTATTATCGACAATACCTCCTGAACAACCACCATTCGACTACCACTAAAAAGCACCATTTACCACCACCTAACAAAACCAAAACAAACCTGTAATCAACACCAAACAGAAAATGGAGATCGATCTGAAACCCTAGGCTGTGTTTGAAAACCTTGGCGCCGTTTGTTTAAAACACGGGCAGTAGGGATCTGGAGAGACGGAGATGTTCCTGAGATGATGAAGGTTCAAACAAATCACCTCTGAGACAAACGGTGCATGTCACACTTCCATATCTGTGAGCTTTGATGAACTACCACCTCCGTCTCCAGATTTGAGCTCCAGTGAACCACTAATAAACCTCAATCCAGCACCACCATTTTCGAAATGATGGCTAACAAACCCTATTCTATGAACGTTCATCGGAAGATCTTAGTGGTTCACAAACGTTTTTCCATAGATAAACTATATGATTATCGTCGGAAATTGGTTCTACAATGGCAACAATTAAAAGGTTTAACTGATAATGTTAATCCGTTCATTTTGTTATTGCTGATTGCGATGATATCAAGGTGTACACAGAGTCGATTAGGTTGATGTATTGTAACGATTTAAGAAGGAATCTGATGAAGGATGATGTTCCTAGGGTTCTTGGTATCTGGAAGGTAAAAGAAGTAGTGGAACGTGACAGAGCTGATAGAGAACAAAGAAATAAGAGTAAATTAAAAATCAGTTATAATTAACGAGGGATTGGAATTACTTTTTTTATTTTTTATTTTTTTAAATACAAAATCAATTATAATTAAATTAAAAATAAGACAAAAGGGCATAATAGTCATTTTATTTCGCATAAGGGATGAAGCGTGCAACTTTTAACCAAACGGGGGACAATCCGAGTTAATTTTTAAAAATGAGGACTAAACATGCGTTTGGGCATATGCACGATAGACGATTTGTGTAATTTACCCTAGTTATAAATTTAAAACATACATATCTGTATCAACTGATCGTTCATAAGCTATAAAAAAATCAAACATTAATGATAACACAGACTATCTAATGTATTCTAAATAACAAACGATGTTATGTTGCTCCAACATGTACTAACTAGCAGTCCAATATGCCTATGGTGGTAGTTTATACAATTGACCCTGTTGAACTAGTGGCAATATTGAAATATGGAAATACAAACAAGAATTAGAATATGAAAATGTACAGAAAAAGCCAAGTTTGATTTTTGAGTTGCTAATATTTTGCTTGACTTTTTTTTTTCTTATTATCTTGATTTTTGAGGGTGTGAAAAGTTTCTTTAGATGCTGTTTGTTTTTTTTGAAACAAAAATTTATGAAATCTACGGACCACCTCTGCAACTCTCTACAACAGAAGAGGTGCACCAAACGGCTGCAGACTGTAATAAGAAACATGTTTTTTTTTTAACATCTGCATGCTGCTACAGATATTAAAAAAATAAAATAAACTGATTTTATATACCGAAAATAGTTTTTTAATACCGAAAATTTAATAATATATTACATTTTAGCATGATTTTTTTTTTATATTTCAGAAAAAAAAAATAATGATATTTCTGTAAGAAATTATTATTATTCAATATAGAAAATAAAAATTTATCATATTTTGATGTAATAATGGGATCATATCGGACCTGGAGCCAAATCTTGGATCCTCTTCTCACAAACGCGTTCCTACTAAAATCCATATAATTTTTCATTGATAGGGTTATAACATCCTATAATCCAATTAAATAACTTCTAGGAAATACATTTAACACACACAAGCTAAATATAATAGAAACTT